CATTGCCACCATCACTTCCAGTGCACTGAAACCAAGTTCCCTCTTGTAATCTGCCAATCTGCATTGATTAACTGATCAAGACACTCTTCATTTTGTGGTGTAACAGCTGTGCATGTCTACCCAGAACATCACTTGTCTTTCACATTGCTGTTGCCACTGCTGAAATGCATCACCCAACACCTCACTGTGCTCACATCCACTGTCTGATCTCCACAAATACTCAGCAAGCATCAGTGAAGGGCAACAGGTACCTTTTTTTCTCCCCCCCCCCCCACGGGGGAATTCAGTTCCACACCCCTGCTTCACCCACACTTCCATGTAAGGCATTCTGTCAGACTGCCTCTCTGCTGCCATCTGTGGCATAGCAACAAAATGTAAGGGAATACTAGTGGGAACGTTCACCTTCTCCAGCTCTACCACAACCATTTGAAGTCAGGGGCCAACATAATAAAATAGAACGCATTACTTCTGGAGCAGCTCTCACAACTGCTCTTAGAGACATTAGTGCTCTGCAGCACACTGCCTCCACCAACTCAGGAAGAGTGCGACATTGACTGTAGTGAAAGCAGAGCACTTCCCTGACTCAGAAAAGCATCCATTACATAATAACCTATGTCACAGACCTGGAAGATTTGCATACAGACTCGGAATATTTCAGCATACAGCTTAGGTACTTAGAAAAATTTATCACAAGAGGCAGAACCACAGAATGACCCAGGCTGGAAGGGACCTCAAGGATCATGAATCTCCAAACCCCCCCTCCCACAGGCAGGGCCACCAACCTCCCCATTTAATGCCAGACCAGGCTGCCCAGGGCCCCATCCAACCTGGCCTTGAACACCTCCAGGGATGGGGCATCCACAACCTCTCTGGGCAGCCTGTTCCAGCACCTCACCACTCTCATAGTAAAGAACTTCCCCCAACATCCAACCTGAATCTTCCCTCCCTCAACTTCAAACCATTTCTCCTTGTTCTGTTGTTTTCTATCCTTTCAAAGAGTTGATTCCCCTCCTGTTTACAGGCTCCCTTTAGGTACTTAAAGGCTACAATTAGATCACCCTGTAGCCTTCTTCTCTCCAGGCTGAAACCTGCACTGAACCAACACTGCCCTGATCAGCTACCGAATGCTGGGTCTCTGACACTGGAGTGAGGTCAGTATCTGCATGTGACCCCAGAGGGCTATATATGCTTTGAGGTGCTTGTGTGCATTGCATTACATGCTCTCATCCACACTGTATGTATACTTTTGAAAGACAAAGCTTGGCCAAACATTAATGTTGACAGCAATACTCAAAGGTAGTCTTCCTTTACAATGACTATTTCTCTGTTAAAAGCTCTTGGAAGAAGACCTGCTTACTCACTTATTTGTTGGGACTGACAAATTTTTTCAATTTGTTTCCCACAAATCCTTATTCCATTAAATTTGCAACCCCCAGTAGAAGCTATCTGGAAAATTTCAAGCAGAATAATTAAAACCTGCAGAAAGCTACAAGCAACTGGAAGTAAAGGTTTGAAGGAAAACACCTACAAATTTTGAATGAAAGTTTTCAACAGCACTTCAGCCTAACCTAATACCTACAGCATCCTTAGATTATCTCAGCTCATAATAATCCTCTGAAAATCATTTTTAACAAGAACTGACTGTTTGCCTTGGAATCACAGCTAAGGAAGTTTGTGTCCTTCAGCCCACTGACACCATCAAGCACTAACACCCAGGAGTTTGTGTGAACGTTCCAAAGACCACACATGCTGCATCTACCTCGAATGTTCAGGGCACATAACAGTGTAGTAAAGATTTATGATCCACTGAAGTAAGCAAACAACTCTGCTGACAGGTTTCTTACTTACTACAGTGGGCACTTAAAGCAAGTACTTTGTCTACACCACTGTTTAACCAACTGTTGAAGTTAAAACACTATTTTTCTCCTTAATTGTGTCAAGTATTAACTCTAATGTAACTGGACTAAATCCAGGTTTCAGCTAGCACAGATGTCATGCCCATTTACTCTATACTCTGCTGTTGATCTAATGACAGTTAACATGAACAGAATTTGTCATAAAAAAAGAAAACCATTCAGCAGCTTCCCATTAGTGAAGTTGTCAAAAAGTAAAAACCTCTGTGGGGTATTCTATGCCTTCTCACCAGTGAGCTGTGAATGTTCAGGCTGAGCAGCCACAGCCCAATCAATTAAGAAACGTGCCGTAATAGAGAACAAACGCATTAAGGCCAGCATTGTAATTGGGTAACTAGAAAACACACTGCTTTACTTAGTCCTGCTCCACAACCACAACTGCAGAAAGTGAATAAATATACAGAAAGGATAAAAACAGAAGGGTTACTAAATTTAGTGAAAGACCTAAATACGCATGGCATTGATATAAAAGAATCTGCACATAGCCTCAAGTATGCATGCACACATTTCCTACCTCCCATTTCTATACCTCTGTATACCTTCTCTTTATAAGCATGCTAGAATACTCTGCAGGAAAAAAAGATGACTTTTCTTTTTTAAATGAATAAGGCAGTTAAAGAATCCCACGCAAATAGAGAGCCTGTTATATTCTCAAGAATACATTTCCAAGAGCCGCTTATTTGCAAGTGTAGGAGCACCATCTAGCGTTCAAAGGAAGAAAAAAATGGTAAAAAGCAAATGGTATCCTGCGCTCCATCAGAAGAGGGGTGGCCGGCCGAGAGAGGGAAGTGATTGCCCCTCTCTGCTCTGCTCTTGTGAGGCCCCATCTGGAATACTGTGCCCAGGTCTGGAGCCTCAGTACAAGAAAGACAGGGAGCTGTTGGAGAGGGTCCAGAGAAGAGCCACAAAGATGATCAGGGGACTGGAGCACCTCCCCTACGAGGACAGGCTGAGGGAGCTGGGCTTGTGCAGCCTGCAGAAGAGGCAGCTGTGGGGTGACCTCATTGCAGCTTTTCAGTACCTAAAGGGAGCCTACAAACAGGAGGGGAATCAACTGTTTGAAAGGGTAGGTAACTGCAGGATGAGGGGAAATGGTTTTCATTTGAGGGAGGGAAGATTTAGGTTGGACGTTGGGGGAAGTTCTTTACTATGAGAGTGGTGAGGTGCTGGAACAGGCTGCCCAGAGAGGTTGTGGATGCCCCGTCCCTGGAGGTGTTCAAGGCCAGGTTGGATGGGGCCCTGGGCAGCCTGGTCTAGGATTAAATGGGGAGGTTGGTGGTCCTGCCTGTGGCAGGGCGTTGGAGATTCATGATCCTTGAGGTCCCTTCCAACCCTGGCCGTTCTGTGAATTCTGTGGTTAGGCCAAGCACAGTTCTTACACCCATGAAATAGTACTTTAAATGATTATTCAGTGGCCACAGCTGTAGTAAAGTCAGTAAATAGAAGTCAGTGTTCATGGAAAAAGCCTCAGGGTTCCAAGCTCACAGCAACAGGTGATCCTTACAACCTCCATTTTTCAGCAGTCAGCTAATCATTAACAGAGTATCCCACCTGGATGCAATAGATCCCTGCAATTTTTATTTATTTTTAGGAACTTAGTTAAAACATTTAACCGAGCAGCCAAAAGTCCTTTTCAAAGATTCACTATTCTCACAGATTAAATGCATAGAAAAAGGCAAAACCTTCTGCTTCTCAGAATTTTGCCACTGGCCAGCAAAACCACTACAGTCTGTAGAACAAGACATGCAAGATGGAGCTGAGAGAGCAGGACCTGCTCAGCCAGGGAGGAAGAAAAGTGGGAAAGACCGCAGCCCTCAGCTCCCTGACTGCAAGATGGGGCCAGCCTTTTCAGTGTGAAAGCAAAAAAGCAAAGGACACAAGCTGAAACACAGGATTTCCAGTAAGGATTTATCTGATTATTCCTTTCTTTAACCAAGAGGGTGGGAACACCAGGACAGGTTGCCCAGGGGAGCAGAATCTCCATCTTTTGATATGTTCAGGATGCACCCAGGTGTCCTAAAGCAACCTGTGCTGATCAGAACCATTTTTGAAAGGTGGGTCAGACTGGGTTACCCCAGCAAGTCCCTCCCAGCCTAAACAATGTTTTAATTGACAGTTTGGCTGCTTCTTGCCTAAGGGTCACATCCATCAGAACTTCTGAGTTTCTCCAGATCCTACACAGATGTGTGGACTTCTTACGGTAACCTGAGGTGCTTTGAAAAATAACAGAGCTCAAATACAACATTCTTAAGTATCAATTTTAGCCATATGAAATCTGCTTGGAAAAACGCTTTAAATAACCACTGACTCTGTCAATAAATCTCTTTTTTTAATCATAAACTTTCAACTGGCAACTTCTCCTTATGCTCCTGGCAATGCTTCACTGAATAATTCCCGAATTTCTTCACTTTCTAACAATATTGAAAGAAGAAAAAAAGTCAAATCCATACAATTAGAATAGATGTGCCAAGTTATTAAAAACTGCAGCTATAATCTGAAGAATCCTGAGTGACAATTCTGGGTAATAAAGGGAGATTAAAATGGAATTTATCATTATGTAATTCTAGATAACTTCGCCTTTCATACCATCAGCTACTTCAGACACATCAGTCAGAAGAGCTATCATTGCATCTAAAATTGCTTTTAGGGATGGCAGCTCCTGCAAGCCACAGCTCAGAGTTGGCTAGAGTAGGAGGCAATTTATCCCATAGATTTCGAATCTGTCAGCTTTATATATGTAGAGTGGTATTTTATATAGCGAGTCATATCATAAAGATGGCAGTATCAAACCCAAAATGAGTTCCTGGAACACAGTTTTCCACTGCTGAATCAGATACATCTCACAGGAAAGTTATATTCTTTTAGCAGTTTTCATTCGGCTCATACAGGGCCAAAGATTCTGTTATTTTATCAGATATACCTTCTGCTGCATTCACAGCCCACCTGCCCAAGAGAAAACTAGCATTACTAGGAAACATTAGTTCAAGAAGAAACCATATCATAATTGTGATGCTTATAAGATTCAACATGCAACACAAACACGTTTGTGCCATGCCAGCTTATATTGGAAAGGCTTGGACCACTTACTCCGCAGAGGAAAAAAATCAGGGTGGTCATCTGCAGTGAAATGCAGCCTTGGTTTCTGGGCCACAAAAGCAAGTCTTCACAACTATTAAGAAAGCTGTTCTCAAGGGAAGGTTTTGCATCTTTTTCAGGAAGAGTTTAAAAAAAAAAAAAAAAAACTTTTTTTTTTAAGTACAAGAGTTTTGCAACAAAAGGTACAGAATTTATGAAATAACTTCTAGTCATTTGCAAACGTGCACTTGTTCAGCTCTATGAAGTGGGAAAGTTTTGCCTCTCTATATGATCATACCTGAATGAGAGTTTTCTTCACACAAAACATCCCATTTTGCCAGCTAATCCACTATGGCTGAAATTACTGGTTCCCAAATGAAACTGCAGTCTGCAGCTGCCTGTGAGCTGTACTGCCTCTATAATGCCTGCAGCTGAAAATCTGATCACAGCAAGATACCCTGGCCATGAGCAACCCAGGGTTCTGCAGCTGTGCTGTAAGAATGGCTGATGTACCACTTATTTTCTAACATCCATTCCCAAAACACAAGGTAAATCTCTTCCACTGATGAATCAAAGCTGTTTTTCAAAAAGTACTGATTTTAAATAATTACTCATTTCACAAGAAAATTACTTATTTTTCTTCCCTGTCTTAACTAAGCACTTCTGTATTAGAATTCACTGAGCCGGGCTTTGGGGATTTACCAATGAACTGAGGATAACAACAAACATATAACACAGTTGTTAGAAAAATCTTTGTTGGAGTGTGCTGAACTGCTTATCTCCAGTTATACTCAAGATCCTGGTCAACATGGCATGATTGCAAGCTCGGGCAACCTAGCCCAGGAAAGTCTACTTCATAGATGTTTTTCTGATTTTGTAGAAAGAACTAAGGAAGCTGAAAGCTCAAATTCCACTGCGTGCTTCCACACCCATAAAATCAAACCCAGATGACATCTTATTAGATCAAGCCACCTGTTCTTTACGTGCAAGATGGAAAAAGATGCTTTTTAATGTTCTCTACAGTTATCGGAGCTGTGGTGACAAGAACGCTTGCATTAATGAACAGAGGAAGAGAAACATGGAACGGCACCTATAGACAGCCTGAGTGCAATAAGACTCTGTACCTGTCTGGCAAGGTGCTTGCACACAAAAGCTATTTTTCCCAGGTAAATGGTGGATTTCCACATCTGGAATGCTTTTAAGTGACAGCGTACAACAAACTCATGAATAAATAACAACTAACGTTTTCAAGATGATGCTCTAATACATTACTACATTTTTATTTCCATGGCCATAGCATGACTTGTAACAGGATTATTGTTGTGGTTTTTTTTGGATTTTTTTTCCCCTTGAGTAGATACATACACTATAACTAACACAGTCACAGTTTACACTGACTATAAACAACACAGTGCTATAAGCATGCTAAACATCCTACCAGAAAATTTGTTACTTACAGAATGTTATTAGGTTCCTGATGTTTAATCCTGACTTACAGGAAGAAATTGAATACGTAGGAAGGAGTCATTTATTTTTTAACTCCATCTTTCTGAGAAAAAGATGTTTTAAAAAAAACACGAGTTGGATCAAATGCTTTAAGTCACAGGATCAAACCCCTAGAAAAAAAAAATCCATAGCAAAATGGAAAGCACAGCAATGACAACAGAATAGCAAGACCCTAAGCTACAACAAGCAAGGATCAGCTCAAACACAACTGCTGCAGACACAGAAACAAAAGAAAGATGCTTACCTTTATAAGGCCTCACAAATACAGGGACCTCCAGAAAGATATCCTTACCCCCACTGCCAACCCTTATATGAGGTCTGGGAAAGAGTGGATACTGCTCCACCCCCTCTGGTCAATCAGGAGCATTGCTTGCACCTGAGCTCCCCTGAGTTGGCCCTGCCTTCCTACCAGGTGTTCAATCACTGCTTCAAGCTGTGACTTAGCATTTTCACTACAGTATACCACTTCTAGGATGAAACTGAAATACAGAGTTTCTTCTTACTGCAGCACTCACAGAAGCAAATAAGTGGGTTACAACTGGAGAGGTAATTTAGCTGGTTTAAGCCAGAGCACAGAACTATAAAACAAGGAAAGAAAGAAGAGTTTAAAGAAGTTAGACATACTCGCATCAGCACATGAAATGGTCTCAGATGCACTAAGGATAGCAGCCACAGAAACCTCAACCCACTTGTACTGTTGAGCAGCTCAGGGACTGGAGGAGATCAAGGCTGGGACAGCTCACTGAACTGCAGATTTTGGAAGATAACACAATGAGTTATTAGAAAATCAGTGAGCGTCTCTGAAGACAAAATGTTATACAAAGTTGATAACGTTAATGTGACAAGAAAAAAATCCTGTCGTGACCGTTTTCCCTTTCAGATATGGTAAGTGGGCTAAGTAAGTAAGGGAGAAGCCACTGATGTGACACGCTTGGCTTTGATAGGACCTCCAATCTAAGACACCCCACGTTCTGGCAAGTGAAGTAGGGAACCGCGACCTACATTAAAGCACAGTTACAATCGCCACATGCAGAAGTAACTAGGAATAATTCTCTTGCAAGCTGTAAGTCAATTTCAAGTGAGGTTCCAAAATGTTCTGTCACCCACCTGGTTTTATGTCATGTTTTATTTCATTGCCATGCTGGCAATGAAACAGAGAAGTGCACTTTCAGAATCCAGGCTCACACTAAGCTGGGAGAGACTGCAGTTTGGTAAACAGAGCTCAACGCGATTTTGACGATCTGAGAAATGGTCTGAAATTCTGTAATCCCATAGAGATGGCTGCAAATTATTACAGTGACAACCAAGAAAATAAATTCAAATATCTGGGGAAAAAACTAACAGCAAGAACACAGGGAAAAATCCCTGAAGGTTACAGTGGATCACAGTTAGATTGGAGAATGCAGCCAGGAGCAGAAGAAAAGAGAGATCATTTGGCACTACGAGTAACTGGGACACAAGAAACAAGAGTTCTGCTCTGTTTAGTGGCAGCGAAACCTCAGCTGGCACAGGTTATGCAGGTCGGACATTGCACTGAGAGAAAATTACACACAGCAAAAACTAGATCTGAGCGTGCACGAACAGTGAACGGGAAAATATCAGGGCACGAGTGTCTGCGATAAGAGGGAGAAATAAGATTGTGAAGTGATCGTCCTCAAGCTCTTTAGCGAGTAAGCGACAGAAATGGATTCGATTTCTATCCATCGAGCACTGAACCGGTAACCTCCTGAGGTAAGGAAAAAAAACAAACACAACAGCGACTTACACAAATCATCATTAAGTCGTGGACCTATCAAGAGACCGCCGCTGGGCGCCTCTAAAGGCGGGTGGGGAGGCGGCGCCCCGTTGCTTTAACCGCGAGCGAAGAGCCCCCCCAACCGACCCCCGGCCCGGCGCTCACCATGGCGGCGGCCGCCTCGCTTCCCGCGGCCCTGGCAACGGACGCCCCGCCCTGCGCTGGGCGTGAGGCTGTTCCGGACGGAAGCGGAAGGTGGGCAGCGGCGCTGGCGGAGGTGACGGGTGCGGGCTGTGGAGCTGGTAACGTGTGGGGGCTGTGCGTAGGGGGCGGCGGTTGGGGTTGGGGTTGGGGTTGGGGTTGGGGTTGGGGTTGGGGTTGGGGTTCGGGAGCGGCGCCGTGCGGGAAGGAGTATGATGGAGTCACAGAGGGGGGGGTGAGGGCTCTGCGAAAAGGAGGGAGACTGCAAGGAGGGATTTGAAGCATGGGAACTAGAACTGGACGAGCAAGAGATGGAAGTTGAAGCCCGGCCCTCGGTGAGAGAAGCAGCAAGTGCCAGACGGCTCGGATCCTTCTTTTGACTTTTCTCGGGTTTCGGGGGCGTTTGCTTTTACATTTGTTTTGGTGTGGGCTTTTTACCTCCTTTAGAGCTTATAGTTCACAGTAAACAGTGTATCAGTGTGCCACTGAACTGAATTTTAGAGGCTGTATTCGAAAACAGGCTGATTAACTTCCAAGATTAACTTCCCTTGCTGAAGATGCTTTCCCTCCTTTCCTCCTCAGGATTACGTAGTTAAGAAGAGCTGACTGCTAGCAAGAAAATGACAACTCTAGAAAAAAGTAGGTGGTTGGTGCAGTATCTGAGCTGACTGGATTAAAAGGTCTTTAACCTGAATTCTAAGGTCTTATTTCTTTAACTGCATGAAATGAGCAGTTAATTGAACTAGATCTGCTAACGTGGTTTTGCCTGGAAAAGCAGGTTTGTCATTCGTGCGGTTACATGTCTACACCTTTGTCTGATAGCCCTCTCTCTGGCCTTTAGAAATTGCTGGCACTGCCTGAATCCTGAAAGTAGAGCACTGTAATGGCAACACTATTGTGTTTTTGAAGTCCAGCACGGGGAATAGGACAGAGGATGCAGGCACATGTTACTCCCTGCAGTAAGAGAAATAATGGCAGTATGTGTAGCAGTGTTCTGAGAAGCTTTCCTGCCATGTCCACTGTTGGGAAACCTTACTGTGATAGCATTTAACTCAGCTGAAAACGTAATGAGCTTCAGCAAAATGAATTTCAGGCATATTTGGGAATCTAGAGCAGAATGTAGCCTTACTAGGAGTACTGGGGGCTATTAATTAAAAATGAAATGCAACTGATATGTTGGCTTTTTTAAAATCATTAACTCAAAACATGTTGTAGTACTTAAAACCTCTTAAACTTCTTATGGTGTTAGTAGCTGTGTAGCTTAATAGCAGCTTTGGATTTTTAAATAGATCTGCTGTGATTTTTGTCAGCTCCTAGAAGCTGAAGTTTGCTGTCACTCCATAGGTAACATTGTCAGGAGTTTTTCTCCTTAATGGTTCTTGATCATATCTGCACATCTACCCAATATTAGGTGATGGAAACTAGTAAAATTTATCAATGAATGTGTCATAATTAGCAGTGCATACTTGAGTAAAGGCTTTCTAGATTCTAATTTGTGTTTGATAGCTCCTGCTGCAAAGGACTGTTTTGCATGCAGTGTAAAATTAAAACTTTCACCTCTGAAGTACGTAAATGAAGGGAAGAGTTGCAATGACATTAAGATGGTAACTACCTCTGCTGTTTCTGAACTGTAGTTGACTATGCCTCATCACCCATCCGAGGACCTGGAGATGGCATGGAAACAGAGCAGACGGGTGAATCTGTAGAAGTAAGCACTGGAGCCAGCGCTACAAACCATCACATCCACCACAGCCCACAAAAAAAAGCAGTCTCATCGCTGAGTCCTGGAGTTCTCCAGCTAGGGCAGATACATGCTGATAAATCAGTAGAAGTTGAAGCCGTGCGTATATTAGTCCCCAAAGCAGCTATCACCCATGTAGTTGCAACTAAAAATGCTAAAGTAGCTAAATCGGCGGGACACAAAGGAGATGCTTTCCATCAGTCAGATGGAACTGCAGATCCCAAGAAAGAACAGACTGAGCTCAAAAATGCAGTCGAAAAGCTGAAGAATTCAGAAAAGCGGTTGTTACAGGATAAAGAAGGTCTCTCTAATCAGCTGCGTATACAGACGGAGGTAAGAAATGAAGGGGTTTTTTTCCCTCACACAGTTGAGTTGCTTTGGTTTATTTAGTTTGTGAATAAAATCAAAGATAACTGCTACGACACTGAAGCTTTGAAACAAATTGTTTTTGAACTTAGAAGATAGAGAGTAGAAATGCATCAGAGTACTCTGGTGCTTCTCTGTCAGCAGATAAAAATATCAAAGCATGAATCTGGGAGAAACAAACACACTGTAGGACTGCAGGGAAATGTCTTTTGAGGAGCAAGATCTTTTCTCATGACCCAACACTTAGTAAAAAAAAATGTTACACCATAGAAGGAGGTGTAACATAACTTACAAATGTCTTATGTAATCCTTTGCTATTTTACTGAGTCAGGACTTGAATAGGACTGAAGCTTTCTTTGTTTCATGTACCACATTTTTATTCTCCCTCCTCAAATGCTGTTAAATTTTAAACAAGGAAGTGTTAAATGCGCGTTACTCTTAAAATTTTGTCTCACTGGAGTGGATTGTGAGGCTTATTATCCTCTCCTTTGGGTGCATTCCATTCTGGAAACAGAAACTGCTCATTTTAAACAATAAGTTGCCTCAGTTGCACTGCGTACAAAAGTAGAAAGTGTTTCAATCCATATTGGTAATGATCAGATAGTTTGGTCTAATTCTAGGTGAATCGGGAGCTGAAGAAACTCCTTGTTGCTTCTGTTGGAGATGATCTGCAGTATCACTTTGAGCGGATGGCTCGTGAGAAAAATCAGCTTATCCTAGAAAATGAAGTCTTGGGCCGGAATCTGTCTCAGTTGTCTGAACAACTGGAGCGCATGTCTATACAGTGTGATGTGTGGCGAAGCAAATTCCTAGCAAGCAGGTATTCCCACTTCAAGCAGCATTTTTCTGTAGGCTTTTATTATATGCACCCACTGCAGCACTTGGGAATGTGTATGTGTGTATATATATATGCAGAGGGCAACCACAACAGCTATTGTAAGACACTTACCATTTAGTTTCAATCAGAGAAGAGATAAAATGAAACTAAGCTGCTTGTAAATCTCAGTAGTTCTGCCTTTCAGAAGTAATAGAGTGGGTCCTAATACTCCTAAAATGCTAACTCCAGTTCTTGTTAACATAAGAGAAGTTCTTATTTCTGATCAACTGTGCAACTGTGTCCAGTTTAGGGTTTGAAAATGTCTTCCATGACAGCTGAAAGTATGATGCAATCACCAATTTGTTTAAAAAAAAAAAAAAAAAATTCATTAATTTTTCAGGGATCTACTAAAACCAGCAACTAAGAATGGAAGAATAGAGAGACCTCTTCATTAAATGTTTGTTTACAGAAGGAACCCTACGGTAACTTCTGTACTCATAAACTAATACATTGTAAGAGTTAAGAGCAAATCTTAAGCTGGTCTAAGTGTCAGTCTCATTTGACAAGGGATTAGACTTTTAACTTGCCAAGTGTAGATGATCTATCAGATCTGCAAATAGTGATAGGATTTTCATCTTCTACTGTACTCATCTATAACTCACTGCATTTTAACTAGTGATGCTTAGTGCATATTATGAAAATGATTTACTGCTTGAAGGAAATGAGAATGTATGATCTAGTCCATTTAAATTGCTGGTATTCAGCAGTTTTGATGTACTGAGTGAATGATAAGCAGTTGTGATAGTACCATCCAGGCAAGCATTACTATCCTAGTTTTACTTGTTTCTTCAGCATTAATATGAATCCTAAGATCACTGCAATGGAGCCTCTTCCAGTAACACTTTTGACAGTGTGGAGATGTGATCAAAGTAACATCTGTTCTATTGTAAGGCTCTCATTCATTCAAGTCTCAGATTCCTTGCTGGTAGTTGTTAAAATGCATTCTGTTCTTGGTATTTGCAGTATCTCAGGCATTGAAGTACCAGCTCCAGGGGTCTGTTGGCATAGAATAGCAAAATATCACAAGCAGTCCTCACGTGCTTGTATCTGGAGCATTTGACATCTAGGTATTGTGCCCTGAGAGAAGCAGAGAAGTGGATGCAGTCTGCAGCCATAGCTGTCATCTTTAGAAACGACTGTGAAAAGATGTGATTACAGTGTACCTGCAAGAAACCTGTCAATAACAAAATGTATTTAGCTTTGTCTGTCAGGATGTTTGTGCACCGTGCTCACTTACCCATTTGTATGTGTGGCATAAGATTATTTTAAACTCAGATAGTCCAAACGTAGTTTTGCACTTAAATGCTTGTAGTTGAATAGAAATTGCTCTTAATGCATGTCCTTTGTAATTAGGTTGACAGGTTCTGCATGGGGAAGGAAGGGGAATGGCAGCTTAATCCTTAGACTGAGCTGATTAAATACTGTCTGCAATAGAGTGAAGGTGACTTTCAAGCTGCTCACTTAAATTACTAATTGGAAATGTCTTTTGCAGGGTTATGGCTGATGAGCTAACCAACACCAGAGCAATTCTTCAGCGTCAAACCAGAGATGCGCAAAGTGCAATTCAGGATCTGTTGAATGAACGTGATCAGTTCCGCCAAGAAATGATTCATACACAAAAGTATGATTTTCCTAATCCAGACTACTTCTCTACAGACTTCTCATTTCTGTTGGTTTATTCTGAGCTGGAGAAGAATTGAAATAACTTTCCCCTATTCATGTTACATTTAAGAGAAAAACAGATATGCAGATGATTAGTATAGCTGCTTTTCATTCTCAGTGTTGAAAGCCAAAGTAGCACTAATTCTTTCCCCAGTATTCCATAGAGGTGTGAGTTCTTGAAGGTCATATAGCTTCAAGGTATGAAGGTAGAACTAATATCTCTCATATCCGCAGACTAGATGTAGTTAATCACTTACTGTCTTAATTTCAAGAATCTTCTCTTTCCAAAACTAACAGATTCTTTTACCTGTGATGACTTTTCAGTGCTTAGTCTGACAAATGTCTTTTAATTTTTTCCACTGTTAAAATTCTGCATTGGTGAAGCCTTGTCTGTGAGAGTAACCTGCTTTGCCTCCTTGCTTTAAATAATGAAACCTTTTTCAATTAACATCTGACTTGTACAGCAAATTTGGGGAAGATTGCACTGAAGCATGTGTGCTGACAGTATGGAATATGAAACCACTAGATTGTTTTTCTCTCTCTGCAGGCTTCTAGAGGAACTGATGGTTTCTCTTCAGTGGGGGAGACAACAGACATACTATCCCAGTGCCCAGCCTTACACTACAACAGAGCTAGCAGCTGTGAACTGTAAACTAGCCAAAGCTGTAAGCTCACATCTTCTTGGAAATGTTGGAACTAGCAGTCCAAAAAAGACTTCAGCAGCTGTGGAATTTTGCAATACCCCTGCTGAGAAAATGGCTGAAAGGGTAAGAACCTTCCATACAACTCAGTCTTTCAACACACCAGAGGGGCAGGATCAGGATCATGTTTTCAGAAAGAAAAGCCTTGCTTTGTGGCAACTGCTTAATATTGTATTTAAAAATGATTTGCAGGGGAAACATGCTGGATAGAGCTGTTTGGTGTTTAAAAATCAAAAACACGGAAGAATAAGCACAACATTAATGTATGTATTGTTTGAAATCAAGTTGAAAAACTCTGCTTTTGAGCAGAAAACCTTCCATGCTGTTACAGAAGGATAAATCCTATTAAGCTTAGCAGATAAGTTTTCATTCTCAGCTTTTCTTCTCGTAGGTGCTACATGTACTGGATCCAGCTGCACGTACAGAAACATCAACAGAAGCTTCTTTTTCTGAGACTTCTCCCTCTTCCTTCCTTTCTACAAAGAAGAATATTGGAAGGTTTCACCCATATACAAGATACGAAGACATAACTTTCAATTGTTGCGACCACTGTCAAGGAGAGCTCATAGCCCTTTAAAAACATGGCTGATGTTCATGACTGCACATGCACTCTTTCTGAAGAATCCCACTAGTTGGTGTTCAGCAGGCTTCCCTTTTTCCTGTTTCTTTCTATATAAGTGGGTTTAAAATAGGAAATCCTGTATTTTCTGCTTCTCTGCCTCTTGAAGCCAGGGACTGCCAGGATTTCTTTATTCTGTGGGCTGCTTTATTCCTTTTCAGTCTGAAAAACTACTTCTTTCTACAAAGGCAAGACCAAAGACTTTATGCTGGTCCAATTTGTAGAGCCTAGAGATCCCCCTGACTACTTAAGTTTGACAATCTTACTAGCAAATCTTAATGAATTCATCATCTTTACAGGGAAGTAAAAGCATAAACTATACCAAAGCAAAGGAAATGCTATATTTTTAATAAGTAATAATCATAGGTCATTAGGATATAGTCAGCTCCATGGTTCTTTAGTGTTATCCAAGGCAATGAACTGTCCTCAGGTGTATGTTCGATCTTTTAAATTTAGTCATAAGGAGTGTAAGCAATGAGTCTTTATAGCTGTAAGCTCTGAAAGAGTGTGGAGGAGAGGAAAAGAGCTTGAACGAACTCTAGCTACAACATATAAATAGTAACTGGTTTTAAATGGATTCTTGAAAACTGTGGAGTGATATTCTTGTATTTTCACGCAGGTAAAACAATGGCTTTTCCCTCTCTTTTGTCTTCTACAGTCATGCTGTTAAGTAGTCAATCCTCAGAAAAGAAACAGATACACCTCCTTTAATACACAGTGTTGAAAGCTAAACTAGCATTAGAGTTCATTCCTTGCCCACAGTATTCCTGGGTGTTAGGGGAGGCTGAAGATAAGCACTACTTTTGCACAAGTATTAGTAAAAAATATTTTTTTACTTTATGATTTTGTTACTGTGAAGCAAGTTCAAATGAATATTCCTGCAGCTTATCTGCTAAATCCAAAGACAGGACATAGAAGAAACACAGGAGCAAACGCGGAGGAAAATCAGGAGGATGCAAATAAGCATTTTTAATTTAACTCCCAGATTTATCATAGGTAGTGTCTATCTTAGGAAAAGGGTTTCTACAATAGCTGCTTTCACCCTTTGTTTTTGTTTTTTTTTTTTTCCCTTTTAAGTCTCATACTACAAACAGAATTAGCAAGTTACAAGTTCTTGCTTTCTTGGGCATGCTTTGGTTTGCATGAAGAATACAATAAATTTTCTTTGCTTACAAGTTACAATTTTGGATTTAATACAGCTCATTTCAGACCCTGTGTTCCCCGCAGATAACTTTGATTTCATCAGTCATTTCAGCACATTCTCTATCACAAGTTCCCAATATCAAGGTGGTGGTATATTTTAATAAATGTAGCAAACATGGAAATGTACACAAGGAATTCAGCTTCCTTGATATTGGCAAAGGTCATAATTTACATTATCTTTCATTTCATGGAATAGAAAATTACTAAATATGAATGCATCAGTTTGACTCACAGAAAAGAAGTTCCAGAAACTTGCAAGTTCACATACACGTTAGCCTTTAGTCACCACTTCCCCTAGTTAGAATAGTTGGGCTGGAACAGCTGCTCCACAAGCCAATAGAAAGTGGCAAAGATTCCAGAAAGCATTTTTCAACACCACAAGTTGTACACTCATCACAAGCAGCAAATACCAATATTAATCCAGAAAAAAGAAAAAAATCAACATCATAATAGCCTGCATCCAGGAATTCATGGTGGAGTTCAATATAAAGTGCCTTTTAAAAGGAAATGTATTTGCCACCCCCGCAAACAGATCTTGCTCTCATTTTGATTTGGTCAAACCAAGAAGATCCCTGAGTTGTGCATAAAAGCAGGCTTTTCAACAAAATTAATTATAAATAAGTAGCAAAACCATTGTCGGTGAAGGGGACTGTTGAATTTGCTAGAAAGCTTTAAAAACACCACAAAGTCAGTAGCTGTAAACAGCAGTAGCTCAAGCCATAAAAATTAAGAGGGCTGTCCCCAAGAACTCAGTGGTTACCTGCAAATTTTCAACTGTAATTGTCTCTGAAGCGAAAAGATCTGGGCTCCGAACTAATGCTGTGCATGTTCTGCATCTGTTTCGCTCTTCTAGCTTCTAATCGAAGCTGCCTTGCTGCCTCTTTAGCCGCCAGTTCTTCAGCTCGCTTTTCTTCTCTCTTTCTTTTTAGCCATCTGTAGAGAGAAACAACACAGATAAAACTGCAAATTTTATTTCATTCTTTCAAGGTAGGCTTGGCCTCGTTTAAATAAAGCCACCAGGATAAAGGTATTACGGCCACACCAATCTAAAAGCCTATCTGCCACAAGCATGAGAGGCACTACTTCATCCCAATACTCCTGGTGTCATTTTCAAAATGGATTTCATAGGATTCTACTCACTCCTTAAAAGCTCTGTTGCATTCCTCTGTCCTTGGAAAAAATGTGATTCCCTCTTCCTGCCGTCTCAAAATTTCTATTTGTTTTTCTTTCATGTGCTCTTGGTGCTTTTTTTTAAGCCATAACTTGAACGCTTCTTCTGGATTCCTGTTTCTCTCCTATTTAAATAAGACATATGCACAGGGGTCATCTTTAAACAGCCTTTATATTAACTGTACTCTTATAACTTTGGAGCTCTGCTGACATCTCCCATTGACATTAGAGAAACTTGTAGCATTTGATGTTTGCTGACATGTCATGGAATAAATACATGAGCAAGCACTCAAAGCAGCACGTTATAAAAAATACAGAATTTAACTTTTTCAGCTCATTATTGCAACACAGAACTTCAGAGCATCTGAATCATCATTCTCTAGTCAGGCCACACACATTAGCTGATTGCCAACAAATTCTGATGATAAGGAATAAACTTAAAGGGTTTTCTGGCTTGCTCAGAGCTGAGCTCAATTAAGTCATCTGCTTGATTTAAAAAAGGGCATCACTGTCTCTCCTGTGATTTTATTGTGAATAAGTTCACAAACGGAACCTGTATGACAAGAGCCAACTTGCCAGGCAGAACCATCCAGAACATGCAAGGCAATCTAGCTCCTCCCTGCAAGCAATATGACCAAAAAAATTCCCATCACTGCCCATTTTCATAGACTTAGCTAAGAACCCAGGCTTACAAATGGAATCAGATCAATATGACTCCCAGTCCTACATTAGGGTGACCTTACTTTGGTGTTCAAGTTTTCTAGTTCCTTTGCACGACGAATTCGCTTTTCTTCTTGCACTTGTTCTTTCTTCTTCTGTAACCAAGCTCTAAACACCATCTCATTCTCCCTTCTCTTCTGTTCTTCTTGCTCTTTCTTCCTTTCTTCTTCCTTGTATGAAATTAAGAGCAAATAAAACTTTACTGAAACGACTGCCTTAATCTGCAAAGGCCTTATTGTCACAATGGAGTGATTTGAGTGTCACAGTGAGTGATTTGAATTATATTCTGACAAAAATATTGATGAAAAAGGGATAACCAGACTATGGCTAGTTGGTACAATCTTTAGGAAGAAACTAGTCCAAGCACTTCCCTGCAGCTTCAGGCTACATATAGATACCCCCAGTCTAACTGCCTTTTGAGATTACCATCATTTCCATGGTACATCTCGACTCGTGAACATTTCAAAAGCAACAGGTCAGAACTTTCAAATGGACGTCTGACATCTGCCCAGTTGAGCTGATGTGAAGGCAGTCATGGGTAATTGATACATTTTAAAAAGTAAAGAAACACTCTGACTTGAGAGACCACGAAATCCAAAAGGATATTTAACTACTTATTGGAATGCTGGCATTATCTTAGGGAGCTTTTTCTGGGCATGAAGTTGTAATATCCTTTCTTAGGGATGTATTAATGTATTAATGGCTCAGCACCATTCAAAAGTTCACGAAATGAATTGATACTTACAAAATTGAGAACTTTCTTCTAGCTACTAATCACATTTTAGCTAACAAGTACGTACCAGTAGGGGAAAAGACTTCAAACAATGCTTCAGAAAGCTGATGAGGACATTTTACCACATTTTGATAACCCCACTCATTGCAATAGTCTTCTCCTCCCACCTATGCACAGCATCTTTACTGAAAGAAACCCACCAAAATAAGGCAGATGGATACCAATAACATCAAGAATGTTTCGTGCCTGTGAAATCAATCATGCATTTGTTCCCCTTCAAGAATGAAGAAATGAAGAACTACATTCTTACGTTCTTCATAAATTGGCCAACAGAGATGTAGTGCACACTGTTAGCCTAACAGCAGACTATCATACTATTTACTTTAAATATGTGAAGTATGTGGTCAAGAGATCTAGTCTTCTGTGTACAAATTAACACATACAAAATTACCACATTAGTAACTCTTCACATTTCATACCTCATTACTGATCTATGCCTCAGCAAACTTTCCAAATAAAGCATGCTAGAGGTATTTTCATGGATGGAAAGGCCTTCAGAACTACTTAGCCAGCTCTTTTAGAACATCGTGGCACAGCAAATTGGTAGATGCTTCCATGACCTTTTTATTCAGTGACCTTATATTTAAAGCAGCTGACTGGAAGCCTAGAGGAGTGTGAACAGCTTGGATAGAATCCATGCTACCTGTCAGGTCTGGAAGGAACATTTTTAAATGTGACCATTATTATGCTCACATAGAATTTGTGAATTGAAACGTTGCTCTTCAAAAAAAAATTAAATATTTAACTCTTAAGTAGAAAAACAAATTGCAACATATCACAAGCTTTTTCCTTTCTCCAATTGTATCACCAAAGTGAAACAAAGCAGCCCTGTTTTTAAAGACTCCACTAAAGATTTATGAAGCTCCTGCTAGCAGCTGACTCTGCTATTAAATATTTTTCTGAAAAAGAAGCTGAAGAAATAATAAAATATTGAGTATATAAATCCCTGAATAGACAGGGATTTGATTTTCTAAAATATACTTTTTTTTTCCCCTTTTACTTGATTGCCCTGTATAGACACGAGAATAACAACCTCTGCCATGGGAATATTTTCTTCCTTTTGTCCTCTGTGTAGCAAGCAGGTAAAACCAATAAGGAAAAATAATATCCATTCACAGAGAAAGGGAAAGAGTCCCACTTTGCAACAAACTCATTAAGAAAATGTACTACAACAGCCATGCAAAATATTTATAGGGAAAAAAAATGTATCCTGTTGCATTATCTTTCAAGGTGATATTACCTGCATGCATCTCATGCAGCCAACAAGGCATGCTCCTTGTGAAGCCTTCCACACATCTGAAACACATGCACTCTTGTTCATAGTTCTCACAGTCACTGTCCTGTGTAAAAACCTATTTTATGACTAAAAGCTGTTCCATATGAGAGTTGTCAATTACCTGCTTCATCAGCACCCAAACGTGCACCTGCATGACTGTGGTTTCCCCACAGATTACACTGCAATGTGGATGTGATACCTTGTACAGTGTTTCAGTAAATAATGGGTTTGCAATGGAATTTAGAGGGAGTCAATAAACAAAAGCTGTAAATATAGAAAAGCAAAAGAAAGTCTATTTATGAGGAGATGATTAAATATTTTGTTTCTCCTGTGAGCAAGGTATAATCCTATGTCATTATCTGTAATCCTGTTGGGTTTTGGTTCGTTTTAAGAAAATGAAAGGAATTTTAAGAGATTCTATGCTAACTCCAGAGAATTAATATTACTACTGCCTCTTTTATCATAAAAGAACAGAGTACATGCTGTAAACACGTGGCCTTTATGAGGCAGAGGAATGCGATGGTCATTGTGATCTGCTTGTTGCCTCTGTATCTTTACCTCTTTCCTCAGTTTTTCCTTCCTTTGTTCCAACTGCTTCCGTAGTTCTTTTTGTCTAGGAGAAAGGCAGTAAGTGGAACTTCTCAAGGGCACGTTTGCAGACTGTGATCTTGGTGGAGTCTTCCGTTTTCCCAGACCTCTTGCAGCATTGATAGCAGAATTTGGACGATGTTTAGGGTTAGACGGAGGCTTAGGCAAAAAGGCACACTCTTCTGCAGCAGGAGAAAAAGAACGTATGCCTTGTCTTGTTGGACGTACTTCCTTCATTCTAGAGACAGTGCCAGAAGAACTGAGGTGAGAGGATTTTGGAGGCATACGTTGGGTTTCAATATCAGTGAAAGAAACACTTATTGGGGGCAAAAAGCCCTGGCTTTCAATATCACGTAAACTTAAGAGCTCAAACTTTCCATCTTTTTCCACTAAGACTTTACCATTCTTCTGTTCTTCATTCTTGCCAGCAGGGAATGAAAGTGACGCGCTTTCTGGTCCCGTTTTATTAGAAATATGCAACTGAGACAGCTTAGTTGAAACATCACCTCCTCCTGCAAGGTCTGCTTTATAAACTTCAACATCTTCAAGAGGAGGAACCTCAAGATCCACCAAAGTATCCTTAAATTTTAACTTCCGCTCTCTGTTTTCACCCACAGGAGCCTGATTCTCCAGCAGTTTGTTGGCTTCCTCAATTTTTTCCAAGACATAACGCTTTATTTCTTCATCTACCTCCTCATCCAGTTCCTCTTGGTTTTCCAACTTGGATTCCTGGATAGAGCATTCACTATCAGTATCAGAAACCTGGTCTCCCTCTTTCGTGTCAGATCCAGACATCAAACTTTCTTCCTCACGGGGCTTCACTTTCACATCTACACCTCCTTCTGAAAGCTCATCTGGATTGTTTTCCATTTTCTCATTGTCTTCCTCAAAGGTCGCCATGACTTTAACATTTTTCCCCTCAAAGTCGTCTTCTTTCTTTTCAGGAGTCTGAAAAAATAAGCTCTTTGTCTCAATTTATTCTCTCAACAAAGAATAGTATCCAAGAAACAGAAAAGAAAGAGTGAAAGAGGAAAGCAGTACTACGTACACGTATTTTAAAAGGGGCTATCACACAGAGAACAGATTAACAAATAGCTTTTTCCGCACTAACAAAACATTTTCTCCACGTACATATCTACACAAAGCTTAACTAACCACGGCTCGAGCATTGAAGCAATCAGTGATAATGTGAAAACAGAGCAATGTGCTGCACAAGTACTCCAAGGAGCCTGCACTGGAAGCAGTACTTTTGTACCAAACACATTTTCAACAAACACTGAATTTTTTGTGTTAAGACAATTGTAAGCAAACTAACCAGGTCACTGGATTATTTTCTGCTGTCATTCCAAATAACCTTCCTTGTCAAAATTCGATGAGCAGACCCACGCATCTCACACCACAGTGAATTTAGTGCTTAGTATGCTTAACGTATACTCTTTTGGCCTTCTAAATAAAACGACTAACATTTAATTTAACAAATACCTCTCTTTCACCAAGGTTTTCCTTCTCCTCTTCATTAATTAGCCATTCAAGGTCTTTTTCAAAGTCATCCTCATATTCTTCTCCTTCTGTTAAATTATCCATATTTGCCAGACTAGCCTGGTCTTCATTTTCACTCATTTTGGTGCTATGGTAGAGTGATGCTATGAAAGAAGGAAGAAATGTTTTGAAACTCCAGCACAGAACACAGCTACCTCCCACAGCACCCACATCAAACTTGCAAGCAGTATCAGTGCAACCACGTAAGGCAGTGCCACGGCATCGCAGAACTAAGGATGATTTAAAAATATGAATGGCTTTGGCCTTTCCAGCTCTAATTAGGAGGAGGAAGATTTGAATCAAAACACAGAAAGATGACATAATCAGCATCTCTCTTACAGTTTTTGACACACAATCTCTTAACTGGTATTCTCCTTATTTAACAAAAAGATCACTGTTTTCTCATTTTTAGAGGTATTATGAGCTTTCAATGCTCCCAGGTGGGTTTTACATCCTCAGCATTGCTCTCTACCTGCTTGCCCCCCTCTCCTTTAAATATTTTTAAGTTACATTACAAAGCTGTAGGATTCTAGAAGATCTACGTCCCAGCTTAAAAGGAGCCAACAAAAAGCTTCTATTAAAATGAAAGACACTCACTGACTGGGCAGGAGCCATCTGCTACCATTACCAAACATATACAAGCAGCCAGCATTCACACCATGTTATTTCCACTAATATTTGGGGTCAGGAAGTCAGACAGACCACGTGAGACTGACGGAAAAAAGATTCCATTCAGGTTTGAATGGATGAAAAGGGTAATGATGGGAAAGAGTAGCCAGTTAATCAAGCTGGATATAGTCAAACTCATGACAAAACTGAAGATAAGCCACCATAAAGATAGAGTCTTTTAAACAGTCTTTGGACTGCACAGCACATAGGTGCCAATGGCTCCTGTTTGGATGCCAGGGTGCCTGGCTCCTGTTTGGATGCCAGGGTGCCTGCCTGGAATCACTCCCACCTAAAGTCACAATAAGGTTGAAGGTGTGCAGAGACACAGGCCAGACAGCTGATACTGTTCTTTTAACAGCGTTAGCCACTCATCATTCAATCCCTAATTTGTTTCTACTTGTTTATTGAAGCAACATAAAAGGAAGCTGTTCAAAAGTTCCCTTCCTCTTTGCACCCTTTGCTGTAACCTGGAAGTTGCCGCTTCCACATCTCTCTCCTATAATTACTTTGCATCCTCACAAACACTATAGGATCTCAATATGAGTAAGCACGTGGCAGCACAACATGGGATGCAGGAATTAGCTCTGAGCCAGGAGGGCCCCAGAACAGTAGGACAACTCCGGCTGTTTGATCTGCCCTGCTGTTCCAGACAGGAAGGGCTGTGCCTGGACTTCCCTCTCTGCCTAATTATCTTGCCATATGTTTTTTAACATCCAAAAGCTGCTGCTGAACCTTTTCTTTTATATTCTGATGAGCATCACTGAGTTCTCAGTTATGTACTCACACACAGTTCTGTCTCTCACAACTCTTTATTCTATGCAATGATGAGTGCGTTGTTCTTCTAGGCCTCAAAATTTAGTCAAGATTTAGTTACAAGGAAAGAACAGTTATAAGGTTGGTACTTTTATTGTAAACTTATATACAAACAACCCTTATGAAAGCTCCTTATGGTTTAAGCCATTCTCAGTTCAAGGAAATCTGGACACTTTTTTATCCCTAGCTCTCATTTCTGTTTAGCTACCACTTGCTGGGATAATCACTTCAGGTCACACCAGGTCACTCTTGAGTTAAAATTTTCAAGACTTGTTCTGATTCTTGTCTTGACTTTCTACGCCACATCTGTTTCCCTTCACGTTTTACCTGCACCTCCACTCATGACAGACACAAACCTTTTTGCTTGGAAAGGCCCCTTCCTTCCCAAACTCCTTTGCTCTGGGTAGCGGCACATACCTTAGTTCCTAACAGAGGTTACCTTACTCTAGGACATACTCAGCACAAAGAACTCCTCCTACACTTCTTCATAATTATGTGAAGCAGTTTTAAAAGGCACAAAGCTGAACTGTGCCTTTAACAAAACACATTCACGACAATCTCTGCTGCTTAATAGTGAACACTTTTTTTTTTTTTTTTAATTGATGCAGATAACAAAGGAGGCTAGCGTGAGTTCAACCTCTTCTGTCTTAGCATGAAGCAGTTGTGGCTGAAGAGGTACTGTCAGTTTAGCTTAACAATCCTGTTCCAGAAGATCCTGAATCAGCTCCTGCTCCATTGTGGGAATTACGAAGTAAGAATTAAAAGCACTCAGCTTCAGGAGGGACCAGAAGTTTTTAGTGAATCTCAGATCTTCAGTTCCATAGAACAGTTCGGCTGGAAAGGACCTTAAAGCCCATCCGTGTCCAACCCCTGTCCCCCCCCCACCAGCTAAAGCTGCCCAGGGCCCCAACCAACCCAGCTTTCAACGCCCTCAGAGATGGGGCACCCACAAGCTTCTGTGGGCGGCCCGTACCGGGGCCTCACCGCCCTCTGCGTAATAAATTTCTCCATAGCGCGTCATCTAAATTTAGTTTAAAGCCGTTACCCCTGGTCCCACCAATGGAGGCCCCTGTGGCCTCAGGCCCACCCCTCCGGGCCTCGCTGGTGCTCAGAGCGCGGGCTCGGCCAGGCGCGGTAATGTTGCCATGGCAACAGCTCCCTCCCCCCACTCCGCAGCAACGGTCACCACCGATGGCGGCCCCCGAGGGCCAAACTCCCTCCCCAGTGGCCGTCGCCATGGCAAAGGTGGGCGCGAGCTCTGCCGCCGGGCGGCGCCACCCCGTCGCCGTCGGGACGGCATGGCGGCCCTCTGGGCCCATCCGCGGGCATTCCGGTACCGGAAGCTTTGCGCGGCGTCGTTCATGCGGCGGTATCAAATCGGGAATGTTTGTTAGTGCTACACCGCTGGGGAGGTGCCCCTCTGTGATAATCATACATCACTCTGACAGCTTTGAAATGTGAACTAAGAAACAATCCTAAATAAAATTACCTTCTGGGCTGAGATGGCAAATCCCCAACAGCCTCCCCCCCCCAAGCTGCAGACCCAGCAGCCCTCAGGTCACGCTAAGAACGGGAATGTTTTCCCTGTGCAGAGCATGGCGCTTCCCCACACCTCACTGCGGGGCATGCTCCTTCTCCGGGCTCCTGCTGGCATGGAGGCTGGGGCCACAGCAGCACAGTGGGCACAGGAATGGGACAAGGAGATGCCCTGGCATGCAGCTTGTTATTCTCAACACAGCAGTAGAGCCCTGTTTTGATTTAAAAAGGCCTAACAAAGCTGAAAAGACAGCCTAGAACCACATCAGAAGGCCAAATGCTTCAGAGGGAGGGCCCCACGGTATTTACCTCAGATAACGCGTTACCTACTGATGGAGGTCCCTGCTGCAGTAGCAAAAACTGGCCTCAGGCAGGGTCAGATAGCCTGTATGTGAAGATGACACTCCAGAGTTCCAGTTCCCCACATTTACATGCATAGACAAGTTCACAGCATCTAAAATAAAACTTTGATATTGCCCCAGTTCTCTCTGTGCTCTTCTACTTCTAGCACACCCTTCATCTTACAAAGCAGTGCCACCCTTTTCATTTACCAGAGATGCTTTATTCTTCTAATTACAAGTCAGCCTGATTGCAAGACAAGGATTAGACTCAACTGCTGAAAGATCAAGCTTTAATGCCTGATAATGAATATGTAATTATATTTCAAGATGAATCTAAAAACATGCACATGTTTTTGAACCCGTGTGTCATTAAGTTTATGTCTTCAGATGTTCCTTTCTGTGATGGAACCACAACACAACACGGTTGTGAAGAAACACAATGGAAACAATAGCTGAGCAGTGCAGCACTCCAGGGACAGGCTTCCTACATGCTGGTTGCTCTTTTTCATGTCACTAATGCACCAGATACTGCATTTAGGAAACACCAATTTATTCAGGACAAGTGTGCTTAACAGAGAAAGGCTATGTGACACCTGCAGAGAACCAGTGAACAAGCACTGCCACATTTTTAGTAGGAGAGAGCTGACACTGCCATATGTCACTAGGAATAGGAACTGGAGCTGCTAGCCCCCTGCCCTCCTTCATAACTGAAGTCTCTCTTTCCTTCCCAGTAATTAGCTACAATTGTGCCAACAAAGTAAAAAATGTAATCATATCTGTGCAGAGCCCTTCCCTTCCCTGAAAGCACAGCCAAAACAGCCCCTGCTTTACATATGCACACAGCCACAGCAAATTTTAACATAACTCTGCAGTGCCCTCGCAGGCTCTCAAGGCCAATGACAGCCCAGAAGCACAGCAGTGGGTGCTGCCTGCTGTACTGAGTCCTCTAGCAGCTCCCGCTGTTCCTTATCTTTTGAACACAAGCCTCTCCCCTAACAAGGACCAGAAGCCCAGGAGCTATGTAAGGACCTCAGCAAACCGAGCATAGGATGCACAGATTCAGTTTTGACACTTACCTGAAAAGGGTACCAGCCACCACGTCCCAGGGAAGCAGCTCAGCCACGCATGGTATTTCTCTCGTCCCTATCAAACCACACCTGCTGCTAAGGCAGGAATCCAGTTTGTGGCAGTAGCTTGACGTCCCTTCTCAGCTATCACTGTGGCAGTGTGCGATGGGAGGAGCAATAGGGATTGCCACAGTTCACGTGGACCTGCTTTGCTCACAGAAGAGAAGCAGCATCAGGATTCTTGTCACAGCACCTTTCATCAGCACCAGAGATGTGAAACACTTGAGTCTGCCTTGAAATGTAATGCTATGCTATCTGAACTATTAATTAGTTCCCTGCTTTATGCAAGCATAGATTTTAATCCCCTGCACGTTCAAGAAGCTAATGCTGGCATTGCTATTCACCCAGATAAGGCAGAGAATGAAATTCACATGTCTGACATACTGACAGTTGCATCCATCCTGCCTCAGCAATAAGGCTCTCAAGGAAATACTTGCAAGAACTGCATTTTTTCCTAGCATACACACACACTCTTCCCAGTCACCTATTTTTTCCTCTTAACAAGCAATACAGAAGGCTTGTTGGCTACTCCCCACACCTTGCCACAGTCTGGTAGCCCAGAGAGTACTTCCCCCCTTAAGCCCAGCCTGCACTAGCAGGTAGCAGTCATCTCTTCCAGAAGTACAGCACAAGGACAGCTTCCTAATATAATCAAGCACAGATGTGTCTGGACAGGAAATCTATAGTGTTCTGCCTTAGAACCTCAATTTTGTAGTCTGATTGATGTAAATAGAAAGATCCACCTGCACAGTAAACACACCTGCTTTCCCTTGCAGTCAACTTTAATGAGACTTGTGCTTCCTGCCCAGGGTTACCCTGCACCAATTTTTTCCCTCAGCTGCAGTCTGTATTAGAACTACTGAATGGGATTTCTGAACTGCTCAGCAATTAAGGAACCCCAAGGCCAAGACACACAGAGTTCTGCAAACCTATACAAAACAGAGCCAAGAAGATGATAGTTGATTCTTTGCATTGTTTGTCCAGATTTTTTCCCCCTTGTAGCAGAGATGCTCAAGACAACCTGAAAACATTAATGGCAGCAACACCATGGATTAGCAAGATATCAGAATAGAAAGACATTGACCACACATGGTATCTTGAAAAATTTTTATTTAACAAAAATACCTATTAAATTAGAAACAAGGTGAATGGGTCCTACCCACAGTATCAACATGTTTGCAGAATTTCATAGGCATCAGTAAGTCTGTGTACAGCTGCAGTTAGTCACTGGCATTTCATCACCACACCAGCAGCACAACATAAGAACATCCATAGCCTTCATACTTTGACAGGCCTGAAGATGTACACAGTGTAACATGCTGCTCTATTACAATTTCATTACTTTTGTAGAAAAAAAGTCATTGTTACTGCTGTAACTCATAACTATTTGACTTTTTTTTTTTTTTAATAACTGTGTTGCTCCCCATCAAACACTTATTCTCTGTAATAAAAACAGTAAAATTGAGCTGCTTCTTTCAGTCACTTGATACAAGTGCCATGTATCCATGCCTCATCTCATGTCACAGCTGTCATCAGGCTAAGGAGTCCAAAGGACAGGAGATACTCTTTCTACTCCTTTCTCAAGACACCCTGTCAGCTAGATTTCACAGCTTCAGATTTTTTTTAATACATTAAAGAAGGGAACGTATACATAGGTGGCTTCAAGTTTCTATTTCAGGATAAGGCAGTTAAATTTATGCATTTCAGTGTCACTACAGCTGAACCCTGAAGACACTTCAGGAGGTGGGCCGCTGGTACTATGAAGCTCTGGAGAGTGCATCTCCTGGCACAGCCAACCTGGAAGAGCTCCACAGACCCCAGAGAGCATAATCTCAAATGTGTTAGTCATTCATTTTGTGTGGTTAAGACTAAGGCTCACACAAATGATGAGAATGGCTGTACCTCTTCCAGGCAGGAGAGAAAAAGCTATGAGTTCTCCACAGCACAAGACAGACCAGGCAATAAAATGAAGCTGCCTCTTCAAGGCTGACTGGAATAACTCCAGCTGCACAAGGAGTAGGCATGGAAAAGAAGCAGACTGTACAACATGTTCTCCCTTGCCAGTTCTCCCATATGCTTAAAACCACAACCTGCACAGCAACAGGGACAATTTGCAGGACATGCCCACAGTGCTGTGCTGGTTATGGTGCCTGAGTACCCAGGTGCCCAGGTCTAGGACAGCTCTGTGTAACTCCTCACCAGTGCTGAAGCAATTTGGAACAAATAAATTATTTTAAAAATCAGCTATGAGGCAAGACCCAAATTGTCCAGACCAAAGAAAATAAAACATTTCTCCCACAAATATTCTTTTCTTTTTGCTTAAGTGGAAAAAATGAGGCAGAACTAGTGATGCAGACCCACCAGAAACAAAGGCGCTTTAAAATGGGAAGGAGTGACAGAGCAGTAATCAGTATTTCTCAAGAGTTCATCTGTTAAATACAGTAACTGAAGTAAATACAGTAACGGCAGTCACAATTCTGAGGTTACACAGAACAGTCTAAAATCTTGCAAGTCACCTTCCTCCTCTGATGATGCACTCATATCCACCATCCCACTGAGATAGCCCAGCCATCAGGGTTATGAATCAGTGACTCATACAATTGCAACAATCTGCAACCCTTGAGGACAAAGGCAAGGACATCAAGTGGTTCTGCAGACTAGCACCTAATCCACTTGAAAATGGATCCCTCTTGGGCTCCCCTACAGCTTTACATTCCCTTGGGCACAGGCCTTCACAGCAGAAGTAGCATCACGGAGAGCAATTCAGGGCTGCCACAAGTTGCCCCAGGACACAGTTAGGCTTTTAGAGAGGCAATGCTATCAACTATAGTAAAAATCTGACAGCAAAGATAGGAGACAAGCAGCAGAAACAGTACAAACAACTGAAGGAAGCATGTGCGTATGCAGAAATCTTAGTGTCAGAGACTTCAAAACAAAGTAACCAGCATCACAGGGCAGGCACTGTGAGAACCATGCTGCAGAGCACAGGCCTAAGGCCACCGCCTCTCCTGGGCCCAAGTCTCTGCAGAAAGAAGTCTTTGAACACACCCGTTATGCAGCAGCATCTTAACAACAAGAACAGTGGCTGACCAGGCAATCCTAAAGCTGCCTTTCCTACAGCAGCCTCCAGATGCACAGCCTTAGACTAAAACGTCCCAAGGCTTCCATTTTTTTGAAATTTGTTCTTCATTGCGCATCCCAAACATGCAACAGAAGAACAAAAGGCATTTTAGAAAGAAGATATTTGTTCTTACTTACGTAAGACCTAATACATTTACCTTTTAAAGTGTACTACTAATATAGTATAAATATGGACCAAGTACCATCAAGATGACTGCCTTGGGAAGAAAAGGCAGAGATTAAAAACAGATCTCTGTCTTCATATGTAGCCACACAGTCTTCACGTGGTGCACTAACAGCTTTCAGGAGACCTGCTCCGCACCCGCTCTTGTCTTCTGTGAGCTCTCATAATACTGTATAAACCACTGCCCAAGAACACCAGGGAGATAGCCGCAAAATACGATGCATAAATCATGAACTGCAGAGAAGAGAAGGAAAAAGTGACTAAACAAAACAGTTACTAAACACGTAAGAAGGTTAATTCATGAGCTTCCTTATTCTTAAAGATCAGGAATTAGTAAGCATTTCTTTATCAGCAAACCCTTGCCCCAGAAACTGGTGGCTGAGAGACTTCATAGCCTAGTTTTGCATTCCTCCCTCCCATCAGTAAAGAAAAAAGTCTGCCAAACCTGAGTGAAGATGTCCAATCCAAGCCCACTGGCATCCACGACAATTAATGTGAGTAAAGTCTGAAGTGCTAAGGCAATGAATGTGTTGACCCCAAACACCAGAGCATACCGCTCCACACTGAGATTTGTAGCAATCTGAAACCTGGAGAGACAGGGATGGACAGAAACATAAAAATGGGGAAGAAGGAGGGAAATGTAAGACTAGGAGGAACATCTCTGTATAACTAGGCAATGGAGGAGCTACATGTTCTCTACAGCTAAATTAGCTTGCACTAGTAGTATACTTGTCTAACTAGGATCAGACTAGTGGAGACTCCAGAGACATATAAGAAGCTACAGATACTTTGGGAAGCTTGTGGGTTTCAGTCTTATTGAAGCAGCTCTGTCTGATGCAGTCTGAACAGGTACAATGCCCTCTAATCTCAAAAACTGCTGGCCTCTAAGCATCAACCTACCTCAGTGTGGGCCGTGGCCTCCTGCACAATCCTGAACAGGAGTTCAGGATCCCTTTGCAGTTACCAGTTTCACCATCTCCCCTCCAAAGTACCTGGGCTGTCACACAGCATTGGGTATAAGCTCAACAACAGCTGCGTTTACCTCCTCAAAGCAAGGAGGTAACACTAAAGAAGTCTTCTCCAGTATATGTTAGGGAAAACTGACCCCATAATATGGATAAAGTACTGTCCTCTCCTCATGGCTAACACTTCACCCCTGCCATGTTTACAGAAATACTGCTTCTTGCCAGGGCAATCTAATATTTAAACATTCAGAAAAATATATTTTTAAATATTTAAAAATATTTTTTAAATAACACCATTTGAGCTTGGGCACACTTTCAGCAAAATACACACCGCTGTGCCACAGTTTCCAACTTGAATCAGAACACAAACCCTTGCAACAGATTTCCTGAATCAAGGTGAGACACTGCTTACATAGAAAATAGGTCAGCTTTCACATCAGTTATAGTCTTGAGAGTAATTTACATTAAAAAAATATACACTTACGTTGCTATTGTGATTAGCAGCATGTAAATAATTCTGAAGACAACATAAGATGCATAGCACACCCAGATGTTGTGAACAGTGTTCATAATATATACAGCAGCAGCAATAAGAAAGGAGAACAGGGCAAGTGCCACTTCACCCCACATGGCCCAGGATGTTTTTATATGACCCACAGCAAATACTGCAACAGCTCCTGTGAAGGGAAGGAAAGCATAACTATTAGTTACTGCACTTGGAACAATTTGGACACAGTATTAGTCGTATGGCCTCTACTACCTAAACACAAGTGAAATGGAAGATACTTATGCACACACCTTAGCTCCTATTTATGCTAATGGGGAAAAACAAAATAGGTCAGTGAGATGACTCCTACTGAAATCTCCTGCCTGGCTTCATAAGCACAGCAACCTTGTGACTCAGAACATAGTTGCTCTGATCATAGAAGTGTTGTCAAGTAGGCAACAGAAATGTAAGCACTGCTTTACAGAAGCACCCTGTTAACAGTGCTGTGGTGCTTCAGGGTCTGCATTCACTGGGTGTATACCTACTTTGATAGGCAGCTGCTAGAACTCTCATTTAGGAGGCAGGAAAACGTACTCTTACTGTCATCTTCCCACTGGGCTCATTAAGTGAGAGCACGGAATCAAATCCAGATCTAAAATGACAAAATTTCATTACAAACTATTGAGGCCATAAAAAAGAAAATCTTACCACTGACTGTGCACAAAAAATCCTTTATAACTAGAACAGGTCTGCAGATCCTGCTGGATTTTAGAAAAGTGGAGATGGAACAGGACAGATCCCAAGATGGGTAGCATGAAATATGCACTTCTCAAACTGCAGGCAAGGTGCATTTCATGCACTGTCACAGCTGTAACTACTAAGAAGTCAAGATATCTATTACAAGAAAATTCCTATTCAAAATAGGCTTTGTTTTGCAAACAAGTGAAAGAGCAACCAATACTGTAATACTGCTGCTAGAACTAGACAAACAGCATACTGATAAAGGGAGGCTTACTGGAAAGCTCTGAAAAACAGGATTGTATTCAGCATTTGATCACCATACAGAAGTTCTACACTGCAACATCTAGGCTTTGTAGCTCTCAACTGGACTGTTCTCTTAGAAAAAAATCTCAAAACACAGAGGCTCTTTTTGTCAGGGGCATACATCTGCAATCCTGTCAGATCTCACAATAATCTTGCAGACTAGAAAAGGTAGTTCTTTTTGCCTTGGAGAAA